AATAACAAAACGGGAGGGTGGTGGGAGATGGGTCTGAAATACAGGAGACTACTGGGAAAAATGGGAATGTTGGCAGGTATGGTTCTGGTTGGCTGTCAACATGGTGCACCGGTCATTGCACATATGCATATCTTGTAAACAACAGAGATCGCAATGCACAATCTGATGGTTGGAGGGTAAATTTCCGGGAGAAATAACAAAACGGGAGGGTGGTGGGAGATGGGTCTGAAATACAGGAGACTACCAGGAAAAACGGGAGTGTTGGCAGGTATGGTTCCGGTTGGATGTCAACATGGTGCACCGGTCATTGCACAGACTCTTATCTTGTAAACAACAGGGATCGCTAAGCACAGTCTGATGTGACACAAAGGGAATGACAGTGGGGATAATCCAAACACTTTGGTTTCGATGGCTACATGACTACACAGACCCCGACATCTTTGTGAATCTTTATCCTGACAAGAGTTTTCAAAAACTATTGGTTTCAGTTTTTTGTCTTTGTTTTGGACTGGTCTTAGAGGTCATTTCTGGTAAATGATGATGCATTTCCGGAAAGATTACACAATGTCGGAAGTACTACTGTGTAAAAGAGTACACTGACACTACAGTACATCTCTTTTTGCATTCTCTATTATTGTACAATCATTCATTTATCATGTCACCAGGCCCGGATTGGCTAATCGGGACAACCGGGAGAATTCCCAGTGGGCCGGTCCATTTTTTGGCCGCGAGGGCCGGTGTCCCTAGCTTCTCGCACTCTCAGCAGTTCATTTATTTATTTATTTGACCATAGCCTCACTCTTTTTATTCATTATTTTGCTGCAGCTCCGCTCTTTTTGTTTATTTTCTCGCAGCCCCGTGAGCAATATGCAGCCCGCAGGTTAATGATAATCATCATTAACCTGCGGGCGGCACCCCATTCCACCCCAAACAGCAGCACCTTAGTGAATATTAATTAATATTAATAAATATTACACCAGCTCAATGAAAATCAGATGATTCACTACATTAATAAATCTGACATAACTTGATCAGAAATCAAAAGCGCCATTGTGGTCTAGTGGTTAGCACGTTACTTTAACACGCCGCCGATCCGAGTTCAAACCTCACCAGAATATAATTTTTTTTTTTTTCATTTTCAGTGTTAAGACATAAAATACTGTTTGGCTTACTTATGTAGGGGTACATATTTTTTGTGTGTGTGATGACCGTTACAAAAGACTGGATATCATTAGCCCCTATCACACATATAGACCTTTCCGGAAAATTACCAGCAATTTTCCGGAAAGGTTGTATGTGTGAACAGGTCCTTTTTGAAAATACCGGTAAATTCGTTCCGGCTATTTTCCAGAAAGAGAAGTTGTAACATTACCGGTAATTTGCCGGAATGGTGCGCTGTGTGAATGCAGAATGAAGATTGACGGAAAGAGCGCGTGCACGTCTAGAACGTGCTGACGTGAGACGTCTGCTTTAGCCAATCAGAACAGTCAGACGCATTCACGTCCATGCTGTTTATGAGAATAAAAGCCCTTGAATATTTTTCCAGACACCTTTTAGCTGCTAGATGTTAGTCAGATAACGTTTCTGTTCCTTCTTAATGCTAACTGTGTAAATAATTATCGATAAAATGTTTATGATAATCCGTTGTTTGTTTACCTTCAAGCTTTGCGTGTGCCCGTGAGAAAAAGAAATCAATGCATACATATAAAATTCTGACATATAGCCCCTTAAAGCCACTCAAAGCACAAACTGCATAGCAACTCCTTCATCCTCCATTCAAGCACTATTTCTTGCAAGCTCTAAAACTGTGAACTAAATAAACTGTAAACATCACCGTTCTCTGAAGCACGGCTTTTGGCTTGAGCAGGACTTTTTCAATCCCAGCGCCCCAGATTTTGTTGAGGCCTTTTGAAGTGTGTGCTGTGACCACACAGAACAGTAAAGGTAAGTAATCCTGAGATAGCGTGTGAGATTGACCTGAAACGATTTCAAACACACTTTTAGTCTCGCAGTTGTTTGATCACTCTGTTCCGTTTGCGAACATCTCAAATGCCTGATAAGTTGGTTTTGATCCAAACTTCATATTTTTTTGGAACTGTGCTAATCTTTCGTTGGAGGTATGAAAAAGAAAAAGAGGCAGAACTCGACTTCAAAGTTTGGGGTCTCTGACTCCAGCTTTGCCCCCCATGGGGACATCCAGTGGTTTGCTTTTCTGTAAACATGGGAATCATCTGTAAACACTGAAATGCAAATCACCCACATGACCATGAGGGAAAAATAAATTACCTAGATCAAATATTGCAAAACAGAATAAGTTACATATCAGTGCAGTATAAGAGGACTCATTTCTTTGACAAAAAAGGGGTGGTTTGACTTGTTTCCATTGGTCAGAGATAATGATCACATGATGCTCTTTGGAACTTCCAGACCTGTGATCAGAGTCACCTGTGAAAGGAGACAAATTTCAGGTATGAACATTGAGAGATAATGTGCTGATACCCTGCTGAAAAATCCAGCTTAAACCGGCCTAGGCTGGTTGGCTGGTTTTAGCTGGTCGACCAGCCTAGTTTTAGAGGGGTTTTGGCCATTTCCATGCTGGTTTCCAGCCATTTCCAGCCTGGTCTTAGCTGGTCAGGCTGAAAAATGACCAGCTAAATCCAGCTAAAACCAGCTTGACCAGCTTGGTTTAAGCTGGACATAGCTGGTTTTGGCTGGGCTCTCCGCCTGACTATGCTGGTCAAGCTGGTTTTAGATTGCATTTTGGTTTTAGCTGGTTTTAGCTGGTCATCTCACAGCCTGACCAGCTAAGAACAGGCTGGAAATGGCTGGAAACCAGCCTGGAAGTGGCTAAAACCCCTCTTAAACTAGCCTGGTCAACCAGCTAAAACCAACTAACCAGCTTAGGCTGGTTTAAGCTGGATTTTTCAGTAGGGTTGGGATGGAATTTAAGCTAGTTATTCACATTGCAACTGATCTACAACAGGAGTGTCCAAACTCGGTCCTGGTGAGTTTAGCTCCAACTTGCTTCAGCACACCTGCCAGGATGTTTCTAGTATATCTAGATCAGGGGTGTCAAACTCAATTCCTGGAGGGCCGAAGCCCTGCACAGTTTAGGTCCAACCCTGCTCCAACACACTTACCTGTAGGTTTCAAACAAGCCTGAAGGACTCCATTAATTTGATCAGGTGTGTTTAATTAGGGTTGGAACTAAACTGTGCAGAGCTGCGGCCCTATTGGAACTGAGTTTGACACCTGTGATCTAGATAAAAGCTTGATTAGCTAGTTCAGGTGTGTTTGATTAGGGTTGGAGTTATTGGCTGTTTCTCAATTCCAAGAACGCAGAGAATGGACTTGCGTTCTTGTGGAGGCCGGTCTTGCCTGGTGTCCTCGGAAGAACGAACTCACGAGACCGCGAGGGCAGAGAACGCGTCCTTTGAGAAATGAGATGCTGCGTTCTTCCTGATGGTCATGTGACCATCACGCGTTTTAAATAGTAAATTATTAAAATATTTCAGCATTCATACAACGATTTATTGTTTCTCCCCTCTTCAAAATATATACTTTGCATAAAAACATTATAAATATACTCTGCACAATATAAATAAAACACATTTTAATACGAATTTCAGCAAACAAACAACCCTTAATGTGTTTATTCCTTTATTAAGATGTTCATGGTAATGTTTACTTTCACCGTTTCATTTAGGGAAACTCCTGAGGTAAATAAGTGATATCTCTGAACTTTAATAATAAATCTAAATAAAATGCTGCGCTTCCCACCTCCAGTCGCAATGACTTCTGGGACTTCCAGAGCGAGTTCGGTGCTCAAGTCTGCATCGGTGCGTCCTCGATATCAAAAACACATCCGGGAAGTTTCACGCGTCCTCCGTACTTGCGGTCTTGAGTATTGGAACTAAACTTAGGCAGCTGATGATGACGTTGCACGAGGACGCAAGACCGCCGAAGAACGCATACTGAGAAACAGCCAAACTCTCTAGGACAGGAGGTTGAGACACCCCTGATCTACAACATAGGTTTCAAACTCAATTCCTGGAGGGCCGCAGCTACTACCCCAAACAAACACAGCTGAAGCAAGGTATTCAAGACTACTGGAGACTATTAAGCAGGCGTGAGCTAAATTATGCAGAGCTACAGCTCTCCAGGAACTTTGATCTACATTGATTTCAGTTCAATCCAGTAATACTGTAGTTCTTGGTACTTTAGAGGAAACATTTAAGCATGGCAGAATCCAGTACCATATCAAAGCCTATTGAAGGCAAGCTTAAAATCATTAGCCTAAAAAGAATATGGTCAATGCTAATGCTGCCTCTATGGAATAAAGCAGTGAAGACCAAAAGCTGCCCAAGGCTGCGTCCAAAATCGCTTACAACTTGGGCAGGTAAGTACATTCTATATAGTATGAATGGGAATAGAATAAATGGAATTCAGACATTCAGACTACATACGCCATTTGTCATTATAACATGACCAACACACATCACCTGTGTTGCTTCTCTTTAGGAATTCTCTTGCATGGCATTATGGGATAGCGTAGCGTCCATTGAATGCGCACTTAAGTTTCTTCAGAATCTTGCGGGAAGTAGTAGGTCATCCGGGTACTTGCGTGTTTTTACTATATGTTTTACAATAAATTTGGATATACTACTTTGCTCGCATACTGTTTTGAACATACTATATAGTAGGGAAGTATGCAATTTTGGATGCAGCCCAAGTTAGCGTTACAGGTTTTCCTATGGTAGGTAATACACATTTTCATCTCACTCATATTAAGATAATCTCTTAGCACAGGGGTGTCCAAACTTGGTCCTGGAGGGCCGTTTTCCTGCATATTTTAGTTCCAACCCAAATTAAACACACCAGAACCAGCTAATAAAGCTCTTTCTAGGTATACTAGAAACTTCCAGGGAGGTGTGTTGAAGGAAGTTGGAGCTAAACTATGCAGGACACCGGCCCTTCAGGACCGAGTTTGGACACCCCTGTCTTAGCAGATTCCAGAAATCATTTAATGCTTTATAACTGGTAAACAAATACCCTCAACATTTGGTTTCAAAAACTAAAACCACTAGTCTGCTTTTGGGCTAAACAGTTCATTTTGCTTAACCATTCCATTAGGTGCAATCTCAATCGGGTTCTCAATGGGTTCTCTTTGGATTGTAATACAAGTGTGTTAGTCTTTGCCTTGATAATGCAAGAGTAATGCAAACAGCGATGGATGAAGATGACATATTTCTGTAAGCTTTGTCAAGTATGGTTTTACGCATACTCGAAATTGGTCCTCTGCTTTTAACCCATCCAAGTGCACAGACACATATTGAGTGAGAGCACACACACACACTGTGAACATACACTTGGAGCAGTGGGGAGCTATTACTTCCAGCTCCCAGGGAGCAATTAGGGCTAGTCGCCTTGCTCAAGGGCACCCCAGCTGGGTATTGAAGATAGAGAGAGTGTGGTTTATTTACATTACCCATCTTCAAATCCTGCTGGCAACCAGCAACCTTTGGGTTACTAGCCAAACTCTTTATCCATTAGGCCACAGATGTCTTAATGGTGCATTCTAACTGGATTCTTGTCCAAAACCTTTAGTGTTTGTTTATATATAGATCTAACATGTTTGATTGTCAATTGATAACATGCTTCAGCTTAGCCAGTTAAAAAGAAACTGGTGACCAGGCAACAGGGTGGTGATGTCACGCACGTGCACTCTACCAGACTGAATCAGCATGGTTGCCCAACCCTGCCTAGAATCCTGTGCCAAGAACCATTTATAATTTGTCATACCACACCAGGACTGCAAAGGTTTGGGTTAATCAGACAAGAGTTTGGATTTATATGAATACAAGTTAACCCTGATTTCTGGAATATCTGCTAGACAATGGGTCAAGAAACCCGACTGTGATGAGATTGGTTCAGAATGTGGGGTTGGGAGTGTCGGGACCAATCACTGAGTAAGTAAAAGGACACGATGGATCTGCTGCTCACCTGGACATTGCGGTTGAGACTGACCGCAGGCATGAACACACCCTCCAAGTTCTCGAAAGCCATGGGTCCATGCTGCTGTTTATTGATGAAGAAAGTCAAGGTGTGTTTTGTTAAGTCTAACAGGATCCCAACAGTCGAGCCCTTGCTGATGCCACCCTCAGCCCTGCAAACATCAAGTAGAACAAGTGTGAGAAGATTAAGGATATGAGCTATATATAACTTTAGGAAGGATTCAAATATAAACAGAGCAACTTATATATATTTAGGTGGTGGTTGGGGAATGTGCTTGGCGACCATCAACAGTTTTTTTGGAGGATGATAAAGCTATAAAAAAAATAGCTGCAAATCTGATACACGTTTATGGAGAAAATTAAAAAGCATTGCAGTGTTTTTCTGAGATAATTAGTCTACTGAAATGTGTATATTCCATTTAAAATATGAAACCATCAGTTCTTGTCACGTGACTCACGGTGTGCTTGCAGCATTCTAAAGATGCCTTTAGCTGGGCGTGCATGGAAGGCATAAGCGCATCATGCCGCTTGCCGACTTGC